GCTGACCTTAAGGTTCGCAGCCCAATTCGTAACCACTACTACCTACAAAACAGGAGTCCTGGTGTAGCGCTGTGGGTTAATGCACTGCACTGCAAAGTCAGTTTGAACTGCAAGGTCGGTGGTTCAGGCTCACCAGCTGCTCCATGGAAACCTTTTGCAGGGTCGCTATGGGTTGGAACTGACTTGATGGCACACAACAACAAAAACCTACACAATGAACACAATCTTATTTTTTGTCTACCTCACGGAAATCTAGTGAGGATATAGAAATAATGTAAGGTGAAGCTTCACAGAACACAGAAACACACATCTGGAATCCTTGTGTTTGGTTTTTATTCCCCAGAGCCCCTTACCGCCTATGTTTGTAATAGAGACTTCTGTCTGAGAGGCAAAACATATTTGCCCTTTCTTGAAAAACAAAAGTAGCAAAGAATTGGGACATAATTTGACTGATGATTTTAAGCACATAGTTTCACTCTAAGAAATTCAGCATTTGATGTGGTTTAATAAATATTGGTTTTCAAAATAAAATTGCAAAACAAACAACCAAACAAACAACCTAGAATAATTTCAAGTGATTAATTTCGTCTCAGTATATTTATTTCAATTCAAAAATATTTTAACATACCTGTCTCTGGTAGCATAGTGGTTACGAATCAAGCTGTGAACCTCAAGGTCAGCAGTTCAAAACTACCAGCTGTTCCGTGGGAGAAAGATGAGACGTTCTGCTTCTGTAAAGATTTATAGCTTCAGAAACCCTGTACAGGATCGCTGTGAGTCGGAACCAACTCCACGGCACATAACCAACCAACCAAATCTCTGTTATTGCTGGTGTGAGATGATATCTAATTGTTGTTTTGATTTGCATCTCTCTAATGGCTAGTGATCGTAACATTTCTTCATATGTTTGTTGGCTGCCTGGATCTCCTCCTTGGTGAAGTTCTCCATGATCTCTTGACTAATATAATATGAATATGAGCTGAGTCTTATCTGAATATAAAATTTTGAAGTAAAATATTTTTCTTGAAGAGCACAGATATCTTGTTGTCAATTATACTGGGATATATCACTATTTCAAAAATGAAATGATTGTTTTATGATATATAATCTGATTCTCTGGACAGAATTAGCATACATTTTGTCTTAAATTGTTTTCTCCAATGTAGAAGTGATTAAATACAGTATGTTTTTAGGAACAAGTGATAATGTCTCAGAGAAATAGATACTAAATCTGATTCTTTCATACCTGAATCTATTTGTAGTTTATATTGACTATCATATTTAGAAGAGTAAGGAGAATTGTTGATGTGTTCCTTATGAGTAGTTTATATATAACTTTAAGAATGTAGACAACTTTAATGTTCTCTTATCCTTGGAAGTGCCTGGAAATTTTTTCAGATTAAGCAATTGTTTCACATCAAACATCAAGCAAATACTGTTTGATAAAGTTGCTGATTTTATTCAAACAACTTCTAGGCATCACCTCTTACATTTTGTTTGCTTGAATAGCATTTTGTTACGGAATTAATTACTTTTCTGCAGTGCTTAGAAAATAACTTCCTTGAAAAACAAAACAAAACAAAACAAAAGCAGACCTATGAAGCAATGATGGTGTTACATCAGGATATGGCCCTGAGATAGTCATATTCACAAGAGGACATAGTGACGTAGTGAGACACTTCATTCCTTTCATTTTAAGAAAAAAGTAAATCCTATAACCTTGGTATATATCAAACTAGTGAATTGGTTGTTATAAAATTATATTCTGTATAGTAAAATCTGTAGTGGGACATTTAATAGACTCAATAGCAATTAACAGCAACAGTAGGTGTTTTTAACGTTAAATATTGAACAGTTCTGTATAATGCGAACATATTTGCAGCTCTGCTACCAGAAAATGTTTTGGATATTTTATTAATCAACTTTTATAAGTACCATCTTTTGTGCATTATTTATGTGCAGTATGTGTTGTCAAGCACAGTGATAAACTCCCTAGTGCACTATTATGTCCTCGCAATTTTGTGAAATTGATACTATTCCTACTTTTACAGATGAGAAAGTTAATACCAAGCTTTTGAGAGGCAGTGCTAGTATTAAATACGAATCTTCTCATTCTAAAGTCTTTGCTCCTAAACCACTTTCTGGGAAGACAATAGAGCTCCAAAATATCATTATTTATGGCACTCGATTATCTGAAAGATTAGTTTGAACTGCAAGGTTGGCGGTTCAAACTCACCAGCTGCTCCTCAGAAATCCTATACAGGATCATTATGGATTAGAACCAATTCAAATGGGAATTATTTACCTCATGGATTATTTTATGATTAAAAATGTATAAATAAAGCAACATTTTATGGTGCATGTTATTTTCTCAAAAAAATTTACATGCTATTAATGTATAATTCTATTTTTAATATGCTTATAAGAAAATATACCCTAATTGATCATCTACTCTGGAAAATACATTTTATTTTTGTAATTATGATAGGGAGTTCTTGTATGGTTCTGTAGGATAAGCACTAGACTACAAGGTGAGTTTGAACTGCAAGTTCAGCAGTCCAAACTCATCAATCGCTCCTCAGAAACCCTATACAAGGTCACTACAAGTCAAAAATGACTCAATAGCACTTAACAACAACAACAAATATAATAGAGGAAAGTCATATAAAATTTGTAATGTAATTTTTCATCATTTTATATATTTTATCTAATGCAATTCAACACTTTCTCTTTGTTGTTGTTG